CACTGAAAAAGGAATAGGTAACTTGAGTACAGAAACTGAAATCATAATTCTAAAATCTCCCAATAAAGAAAACATTAGGTAGATTCTTTGACAAGCAAGTTCTCCAAACAGTTAAGAAATAAAACCAGTATTGTATAATCTCTTTCGGACATATTTTTCAATTTAGTATTCTTAAAAAATAATTATTTGTAAGGAAGAATATTTGTATGTTGCTTAAATTTAATTATTTTGGTTTCTCCAATGATGAAGTGTTAATTCTTGCAGTTGTGTTTGGGAATCCAGTTTAATTGCTTTTTCTTGTGGATCTCTGTGAACAACAGTGAGAAAGAAGAGTTATCAGCAATAAGAACCTATAATCTGTAGTTAGGAATTTTAGTGTAAAAATTCCTGCTAGTTATTAAGAAATGTAGAGTTTTTTTGTTTTTTTTTTCTGAACCTGTGATCTGTAACTAGTTTTCACAGGATAGTCTCACAAACTACATAGTTAAACTCAGTGATCAAGGAAGCCAAGTTGGAAGGCATACTGGAATAAATGCTTTTAGGTGGCTGTGAGGGTGAGGGTGTGCTAATGGTAACTATATAGAGTGGAATTTGGTAGTACATTGTGATAGCTTTAAAAGGAATTGATTATCCTGTTGATTTAATAGTTTTATTTTCAGGATTCTGTCCTTAAGATAATTGAAGTTTTGCATAAAGATTTATAATTAAGGATATGTTTATCTTAGCAGTAAAAATTACAAAAACTAATATCCTCTAATTTTAACTTGGTTAATTCATGCAGGACTCTGTAGCTACTAGTTAATGTTTAAAAGATTCTTAGTCACATGGAAAAATTCTTCTATGTTGACCAAAAAGAAAAGAAAAAGGCAGTGTGATCCCAAATGTTTAGATATATTTATGAACAATTAAAAATAATATTTCTACTAAATCTGTGCTGATGCCTGAATTGCTAAATGTTGCACCTTTGTTTTAGAAATTAAAGTCTGTTATATTTAATTTTAATTAAGACCTCATCACCTGTTTCCTCCAAGGAGAATCTCCCAGTAACTCCGCCAGATGAACAAGGTCAAGGTGATGCCCCACCACAGCATGGAGATGAGGAACCTGCATTTCCTCATACTGACCTGGCAAAGTTGGATGACATGATCAACAGGTGTGTTT